TTTAACCGAGTTTATTTGTGCATGTTGACAAGAATATAACCAATTCGATCTTAGCTCATTTCACAAACTCAAAAATTAAACTCAAACTCAATTTACCCAATAATAATTGTTACGCCCCCTATCTGAACCACTTCGAAAAGTCTTCCACTGTGTCAGACGAGGTATCCAACACCCATCCGAAGTGGATCCAAAGTGAATCCATCACTAATGTTGGCAAGCCGCTAACACGCTGTGAGGCACAAACAATTATACTGAACCAACCGAAGCATTCTTGGCTTTGACCCCCGAAGTACAATGCGCTCCGACGACCTCTGTCACAGGATTCGCCTCCAATTTTCAGAAAGAGATCTGTGTCAAGATCCTCTTTTCCCCCAAAGTTTAATTGATTTGATGTCTCCATGGGCCTAGTTGATGTGACGTATCAACTTTATGTCAACTCAACTCGAGAAAAGTTATTACTCGCCCACTCTATAGACGCGGTTGATTGACGCCTATGAGCAGACGCCTTACACCGTCAAATGCATACATGTGTCCCACATCTAACGGTTCTCCTCAACAATAAATATACAAGGTTTGACAATAGGCAAAGGTAATGAAACTCTTATAACTTAGCTATTCATAACAAGTAAATATATATTCTCCTCCCCATCTCTTTTTGCACAACCTTAGCACTGTTCGGATTACCATAAGATAACTTGACCATCGGAGTGTATGCGACCGTCGCCACCCTCGTTGGTTTCGGCTGTGTGCATCTGACCATGCGTTGACTGTGCGCAGGGAGGATTACGTGTAGTAGCTATCGATTGGCTATGTAAAGGGTCCAATTAGCGAGGTCAATAGATTGGTGCCGTCTGTGGGAAACACTTCCCATCCAAAGGTCTACATTCTCCATCGAAAAACCCTTGACTTATCCTGAAAAGGGGACGTTCTTGAAAAAGAACAAAGTCGAATTACAACCACTATTATGCCCTCTATCTGAACCACTCCGAAAAGTCTTCCACTGTGTCAGACAAAGTGTCCAACACCCATCCGAAGTGGATTCGAAGTGACTCCATCACCAATGTTGGCGAGCCGCTAACATGCTGCGAGGCATGAATAATTGTACTGAATCAACCGAAGCATTCTTGGCTTTAACCCCCGAAGTACAATGCACTCCGGCGACCTCTGTCAGAGGATCCGCCGCCAATTTTAGAAAGAGATCTGTGTCAAGATTCTCTCTTCCCCCAAAGCTTAATTGATTTGACATCTCTATGGGCCTAGTTGATGTGACGTATCAACTTTATGTCAACTCAGCTCGGGAGAAGTTATTACCCGCCCACTCTATAGACGTGGTTGATTGATGCCTATGAGCAGGCGCATCACATCGCCAGATACATACACGTGTCCCACATCTAACAGTTCTCCTCAACTATAAATACCTAATGTTTGACAAGAGGCAAAGATAATGAAACTCTTACAACTTAGCTCTTCATAACAAGTAAGTATATATTCTCCTCCCCACTCCTTTTTGCACAACCTTGGCACTATTTCGATCACCAGGAGCTAACTTGACCGTCGGAGTATATGCGGCCGTTGCCACCCTTGCTAGTTCCTACCGTGTGCATCTGACCGTGCATTGACTGTGTACAAGAAAGATTACGTGGAACAGCTATCTGTTGGCCACGTGGGAGTCCAATTAGCGAGGTCAACAGATTGGCGTCGTCCGTGGGGAATA